GAGGAGTTGAGGGCGGACAAGGACGTTGTCCTGGCTGCTGTGTCGCATGCCAACAAGGGAGCCTTGGTATATGCTGCAGAGGAGTTGAGGATGGACAAGGACATCCAAGTGACTTGGTTTTTCTTGCTTCTGCCTTGCGCTCATCCTTTTTCCCAAAGAAGCCCCGTGCATTACGACACTCCTCCTCACACCAACATGCCACCAAAAAGCACACCTCAGCGTTTTTCGTGCTTTGGGCTACCACGAGCTTCCTCGGCAAATCTTAGAAATCGGGAAAAGGCGTAGAAAGCGTTCATGAGATGCTGGGAGTGACGAGTGAGAGCCATATTTCATTGCAGCAAGAGGAAGAGATCATCGAATCGCCTGTCCGCTCAGACAATCTGACGTTTGAAGATTGCAACCTGACCTGAAAAAAAACAGACCCAAGCTGTGCTGACGCGCTACAAGGTTGGAGTGTCGTTTAATGTTGGCCGCTGCATGTTCCACCATGCTTGCCAGAAAACATGCCCAGCCATCCTGTTTCGCCTTTCTGTGATAGTGAAAGGCACTTGTCGCAATAACTTGCCATGCTGCTTGACTGTCGCACAAATCACCCATGTCGCTCAACACTTACAGGCTTCACTGGAACAACATAGCGCATTACACTCGAACTCTTCGCAAAGCACGCGATTTGTTGCCATACCTATACCTTCAAGCTACACACGCTGGATCATGTTGGGCCGCCCAACCCCAACTGATTTAGTCTGCGCAAACGCATTGCCCATTTGTGAAGACGAATCAAGAACCTCGGAGAGCTAACTCACAGTGCTTCAGCCTGATGGCATGGCCACTTGATTTGCTGCATTTCACCTAGACTTCAACAGCGGCCCTATTCACATATCAGATTTTCATTGCAGCCAACTGCAGTCCTCAGAGAGCGCGCGGTGTGTTCTCATTGCTCGCCATTTCCAAGTGGTCACTTCTCGAGCTACTTGTCATAACAGTTTTGCTAACAATTCTTGAGCCGCCAGCCAAAGAATCTCCAACCCCCCTTTGCCAAGGATGCGATTGCTTGATTAGGTTCTTTTGCACTCTCTGCAAATGTTTGCCACCAAGATTGCTCTGGACAAAGCCACCCTGCAACCAGACTAAACTGGATTTCCCACTGACTGCCATGCCACAAGCTTGACAAGCTTGGTGTTCATGTTTCCAAATAGATTGCACCACCATTCTTTCTACTGTTGTGGATATGATCAGAGATAGCCGCATTTGACACCTCTATGCCCAGACCGCGCACGACGTCAAATACGCTGGTTCATCATTCAGTTCAGGTTGCAAACTCTGCATCCCGGTCTCGCTTCACCCTTGTTGTTCAAAAGAAGCTTGATGTGACGATAGGCCTGAACCGCTGCGGAGGCCTGGCCGGATCTTCATGACATCATCCACCAACCGATGTGCAGACGTGCACCGATGGGTTGTCGTGCATGAACTGGTGTAGAACCGCAGGGCTTCTGGTATGAACGCTCAAACCCAATGTTTTGGCGTACCCAGTCCCTGCTGGGGAGGGTGGCTTCTAGCTGGCTCGTGGTCTAGACGCTGAACTAATTACACCAGCATAGACCCCAGATAGCAAAAACACGTCAAAGGTTTTTCTGGACTGCGCCCTGCGTTGGCAGCAGCTCCAAGCGCACACTGGAACCTTTCTTACACTGGAAAAAAACCCAACGTTCTGGCTGCTTGGAGGAAAAATGTGCAAAGAGCGCGTGCCATCTATGGGACGCTGTATTTCGACACAACCTGGTTTGTGAATCTGGCGCTTCAAGAATAGATCTGTTTGATTCAAACCATAATGACCCACCTCTATCCTGTAATTGTTACGAGCACCAAGACCAACTCTTCAGGGCGATGTGCCACTTCCTGCCCCTTCAATCGCTAAAAGCAATGCAGCCCAGCAAAATCATTGCAAAGCAATGGTATCAAATGAAACAACAAATGAACTTTTCCCACACCGGCGCCTTGGCACCCAGCACTGGCACCCTGTCTCCACTACGCGCAGCCAGCACCACCACCCGGCACTGGCACCACAATCTCCACCACGCACACAACAAGCACCAGCACCCGGCACCGGCATCCAGCACCAGCACCCTGTCTCCACCAGGCGCAATCTGCAGAACTCACTAGCACTGCGCAGCAGCCTAATGGACCTGGAAACAGCCTGCGCGAGGGTGAACCACTGGAGTCAATGTGTTCCAAGCAGGTACGTCGACTCGACGTCCCGAGTTGATATCACAGACCAACGCAAGCGTCTTTGTGAGTGCCAGACTTGCATGGTCCCTGGCACCCCCTGCTGCAAATTTTGAACAAAACGAAAAATCTCCAATCCAAGAGGATCCCTATGATTCCAAGGGGTACACACACAGACGCAATCTTCACATGAATCGATTCAAGCGCATTAAGCCGGTCGAACCCATTGAAAAGCTAAGCCTCAACTGGGTGGCTGTTCCGGCTATGATGTCATTGCCTGAGTCGTCAGCGCACGCTTCAGCGCCACCATCATCATATCGTGGCGAGGCGCGCATGATCCCGGCGGTTCACGTCCTTATGGCTCATACTGCTCTTCATCTCCTCGACTAGACCAATGCTTTTGCACATACAGTTAAACCGTTGACCATTCATTCAGTGATCAAGTTTGCGCGATGAGGATGCCGATGCACCCCACAATTGCTATTATCGCCACTAGTAGTGGCACAGACCACCAATCACAACCTGTTAGGATCTGTGCAGGGACCCATTCCAAGCGCTCTCACAAGCTTTGGCAACTAATTTTTCTTCTTGCGTGCCAACTGGACCCTTGACCCATCCAGCCGTTTGTCAGGTCGAGCAGCCAGGGTGAATCCATTTGCTGTTCGAAACAAAACTCACAGACTTGCTTGGCCACACGTTTGCTGCATGGTGCTCTGAAAAGGTTCAAATCCACTGCAAGTTGTTCAACTTTGTGGCATTCGCACAACAGAACTCGGCGTTTTCCCGTTTGATCTGTTTCATGTGTCGAAGCTGACCAGCTGTTCCTTGACTGCCTGGACTGGAAGAACACTCCTCTTGGCAAGGTTATCAAGTTGCACCACACTTGGGGAAGTTGGTCAGTCCAAAACTTGTTGCCCATGTGACGTTAGGGCAACGCCCACTTTCTCTATGTCGGCCACGACGGAACACAATTGCGCAAATCCCAATCCACTGGGCGCACGGAGGTCGGGGTGCCCCATCGAAGGAAGCAGAGCGCCGAACTTGATTCCTGCTGGTGGGAATCGCCCTGACACAGAGCGGGGCGCGAAGCCAATTGGACTTCCTCTTCATGACTGTAGTATCAGAGACGTCTTGATGTCGGCCACCCAGGCCGCATGCAAGTGCAATATCATAGTTTGCCAGGACGAAATCAGCAGCTGGACGCAAATGGCCAAAACAAAGTTTACCATCTTCCGCATCTAGCAACCCACACAACCATGCTCCAATCGCCGCATTGGCAGAAACTCCGCCCAATCAATTATCCTCCAAAATGTCCTTTGCTGGCACCCTTTACAGCAAGTATATCACTTGCAAGCCACTTAGGCCCGGGCCAAAATTTGGTGAAGAAAGCCGAGATGCTGTGATCCCCGGCAAAGGCCTTCTCCCGTTCCAAGCTGCACCAATTCTGCGAGGATGGACTGATCCAAGGATCCGCAGCAATGGTCACCAGACACCAGCTGCTATTGGCAGAGTTTGAACATAAAGTTCTTGAGTGTATAGTAGTGCCCCGCTCGGCAGACAGAGTTCCAGGCTTTTCGCCATTTGTCATACACAAAAGCATGGATCAGCATTCCCTCGTTTCAGCCCTTGCCACTCTGCAAGAGAGGCAGGAACAGCCGAATTAGTCAGCATTTTATCCAAGCCACGAAACACACACGCGCCGTTTGAAGAGGCTGAGAGGCACCAACACTTCTGCCATGAAATGTTGCGTTTCGTGGGCGGCAAGAGCCCATTGATTGCTTGCTGTCGTGGTTGGTGTCCAGATCGATCTGGCAATAACGGTTTTGGCTCATGTATTTTTTTTGAGAAAACACAACCCTTGGAGTTTGCTCGGACAAGAAGGGCGTGTACCCCCACCTTGTAGACTTAGGCAATGGTTGGGTGAGCAAATCCCATCCAAGGCATGTGCAGGAATGGGATACTGGATGAAGAAGGTATCTGAGCCCGACCGCTTCAACCTTTCACCAGCCGAAGTCGTGAAGGTGGCATGTGACGGTGTGCGAAAGGTAGGCCGGCTGTTGAAGTATATACCGGAGGAGTTGCAGAATAACAAGAAGGTTGTCTTGACGGCGGTGGCGCAAAGTGGTGAGGCCTTGCAGTTTGCAGCAGAAAAGCTCAAGATGGACATGGAGGTGATCTCAGTCGCCCTGCAACAGGATTGGGGAGCTTGGCACTTTGTTGCAGACGAGCTGAAGAGTGACCAGGAAGTCTTGGCGACTTCGATGCATTTTGTTCCGCTGGGCCTTGGGGGGCTTTCCTTTCTAATAGTTCAATGCACGGGTTTTCTTCAGGGGACGCTGTGAGTGCACGAGCATCACTGCCAACAAGAACCACTCCATTTCCTCCGCACGGCAGAAAGAAAGACCTTGCAGCCTATCAGTGACACGCCCTTGCGATTTGTACATTAGGATCATGTGTACTTTGCGAAAGAATCTAAACGACCAAGTGGAAAATTGCCGCAAACAGACAAATCCCCCTTGCTTCCGAGATTCGACGGCAACAATGCAGGCCAACGCACGCTTGAATCAAAACTCCAGACAATTTCTGTGTCGATGGCACGATCCTTCCCTTATAAATGTTGAATGTCAATTGTGACTGGTTAACTGGTCGGACCATTAGCGGGGGTTTCTAAGGCGCTTGGTCCCATCAAGCACTGGCCATCACAAGTGCAAGCACGTTATGAGTCTTTGGAAGATGCTCCTCCAGAGCTTCGCAGCAACAAAGGGTTTATGATGGCTGCAGTAAAGTCCCATGGCTATTGCTTGAAGTACGCAAGCGAGAACTTGAAGGAGGATAAGGACTTGGTGATGGCAGCCATCATGCAGAATGGCACGGCATTCAAGCTCGCTGCTCAAAAGTTGCAAAATGACCGCACCTTCGTGCTGGATGCAGTGTTGGCAACTCGAGCACCCTGGCTTCGACAATACGTATCTAGCACGCTTCAGGCTGATAGCGTTTTTCAGCAAGAGGTGGCCAACGCAGCTGGTCATGGCCTCGTTTTTACGTGGTACAACTCGCCAGACGTCTTCAAGAACATGCGGAAAGATGTGAGCGCCACTGGGGCCTCTGTTCCAGGTGGAGCTGCTTATGACAAAGTCATGGCAGAGTTGAAGCGCGCTGATCGTGGCCGTGCCCAGACAGCGTTGTTTTCTTCTTTTTGGGTTTGAGAGCACTGAAATCATGGGGTTTCTTGGCTAATCTTCGACGCCTTGCTGCGCCCAGGAACGGCCACCGTTTGGTTTGAGGAAGCTTTGGTGTTTGGTGCGACCAACGATGCCGGGGACTGGACCCATCCAGCTGAAGATTGCGGGCGAGATCGGATTGAGGTCCCGGAGAAGAAAGGCCGCCATCGGATGTGGGATTCGGTCGTTGAATCGCACACCACAAGAGAACCACCTACAGTCGGCGCAAAATATATATGCCCCTTGACTTGAAAGTGGGCGGGGCCTTGGAGTTGGGGGTTGTGGGAACACCTGCTGGTTGTCTCACATGCCGGTGTCGGGCTTTTGTTTTAGCGCACGCGTTATTATGCCACGTGGTCTCTTTGGGATCACTTTGGTTGTGAAGAAACCTCCTTGAAGCATGCTTGCCGTTCTTGTTGAACTGTCGAGGTTGGTGTTGCCATTGGACGCTCAGCTATTGGATCCGCAGGTGTTTGGTGCCCGTTTTTGATTGATGTCGGACAAGTTTGGCGTTTGCCATTTAACCTGCGCAAGTTTGCAGAGAGGATTTCTGGATTGGCAAGTGTTACTCCATGATACTCTTGTACTTACCAACTCACTCAACAACCACTTGAATGCTGCCCAAGGATTCGGGAAGTGAACGCACAGCATAAGGAAGGCTCGGTTGTATGCTGCACAGTTTCAAACATCTTCTCTCCAGACTCTTGGTTGTGCATTGGGCATCTTCCCAGAGACATCTAAGCACTCTTTCGGGCGATGCTTACAGGATGAAAACGTACGCAGGTCCTAATACTGCTCGATTCGCCGTGCGTTGGCATTTTCGATATTTGTCTTGGGTGTTTCGCAATGGATGCGTTTTAGTTCTGGGTTTCAAGGACTGGGTTGAGTTATATAGCGCTGGCTCTTCCGAGTTGAGCGATGCTCGAGCCATAGATTATGGCTTGCCTCAGAACCTTTGCAGCAACGTTTTGTTTACAAGCGCTTTGAGTCGTTTGATGTTCAAGTTCTTCAGGCGCAAACAAGTTGGTGTTCTTCACATTTTGATGTCCATGTATTTTTGCTCAATTTGCAGATGTTTCCAAATTCCACTCTCACCATTGACCTGAGTCGCAGCAGCTGAGGGAACGCTTCCAGAATCTGCCAGGCGGTCTACCCCCCCGGCTGGGGTGAAGGCCGAATTCAGCTCTCGGACGGCAGCAGTTTCCCCAGAGAAGCGCCGGAACATGACTTCACAAAGAAGCCCTTGGGGCAAGGCTGCCGGTGGGAACGTCAGGTCTTGGACAAGTTGGGTATCCCGGTCAACGCGTTCTTCATGCCGTGAGAATTCGTCAATGGGAGATGGGCAGGCGGGCTGCCGATTGTGAAGTCTCTTGGTCTGTGAAGTGTGCGAACTTCCAGCTTCAAGGCAGCTTGGAACTGACTATACCGCAAGATTCCAAACCTCTAAAGCCCGCTTTCACAGAAACGTAGCCTCCTCAAATGAGGACGGTGAAGGGGGTTGCGCGCGTGTGAGCATGGATGAAGAATTGTGTGAGCTGTGGTGAGCGAGTTTGCAGAACTGACAGAACTGGACTTGCATAGGGCAAGCAGCAAGTGAACTTGAGGGTTTGATGGTGTGTGGCTTGCCGCCGCTTTTCTCGGTGACAGTTGCAATTGATAAGACACATATAGCCTTTATAGGCATGTTTGTCTAAACTTTCTGTTTGCCACCATTCAGCACCAATTGGGTTTTGGCAGCCAGATAATCAGAGGACAAAGGGCTCGGAAGGTGTGCAGCCGCGGCCATTTTCACGGTGCCGCTTTGTATCTTCGAGGCGCCGCTCAAAGACAGGAAGAGACGAGCTCAAAGAATTGGCAGTTCCCTTCGTCTCAAGATGTTGCATGTGGCTCTTTGAAGTTTCAATCCTGGTTTGCCAGGACTGGAGCGCAAAGGGATATTGGCACGGCCAGCTCCTCAGAAGATTTTGGCATTGTCGCAGAGTTCCCATTTGCGGAGAATCATCTCTTGCGCATTCAGTTGATTGATGTTTGACAATTCTTGTTGCTTGTGCGAGAGCCATAATACCCCCAAAGTAATCCAATGCAAGAAGAGTTAACCAAAACCGGATGTTTTCTTTGTGCGATTTGGGCCACCATGTTCTTTTTCAACGGTTTTTTGTGGAACTCACTTCGGTAAGCTTCGATAGACAGCAGCCGTGCAAACAGTAACCGACTCTGGACTCCGCGTTCACGCACTTGGCCGGCTTACGTTGAGCTGACCCACTCGAGTTCGTTTCACGCGCTTTGCAGCTCCATTTGACCTTAGAGTGACTCAATAGCTGCACTTGTTTCACCTCATTGTCCAAAACAAGTTGATGTTGCTTCTGATGTCCATCACCACTGCTGAATGAATTCTTTGGCACACTTGTGGAGTTTTGAAAGTAGAAACAGAAACCGCCGACGACAACAACAACAACAACGCACTTAGAGGTTTGATTGCGAACACACCATAAATACGAAACGCGCGAAAGATGCCAAGGAACAGGAAAGTACATGTTGCGGTAGCCTTCAAGACCGGAGAAGGTTTCAATACTTCTTTGCAGTATTTTTTACAAAGAAGTGTTCTATCCCAACGGTGTTGCGGAATCCACCAATGTACAACATCATTTGGCAATGTGCCCTTTGAGACAGGCTGTTTGTGAAAAGAAGGCCCAGGAAGGTCCCATGATACTGTGCGTTGGTCCCGATCGCGCCCCAACTCCCAGACTCAAGAGAAAGGCCCCGGGGCGCCTGCGTCTTTATCGGGCTCCACTTGTATCGTACTTTGTTACAAACTACTTACAACTAAGTTAGCTGGAGTGGCAATTTTGATGTATGCAATGATGTATGGTATAACTTGAATGTAAGTACCATTTATGTTCTGTAAGCTCTAGTTGGAGGGTTTTCGAGTCAAACATGTATTGACTATTTAGTTAACCAGTGACAAAAGACAAACCCGAAGAGCATGAAAAAACAACATTTTAACAACTGGAAAAGGAACGGTTGCGCAATGCTTTGAACCACACGCAGCGCCTTTTTGAAGAAGACACCTTGAAACCACTCCCCACCTACCCAGGCAAAGCATACGCACGCGCTTTACAGTGATTCGATCCAGAAAACTGTAGCTCCAAGGGTGACACAAGGTGACACACATCATACGGGTCCTCGGTTTTGAGGAGACGGTTTGGACTTTGAGCCCCGGGAGCGGCTTCGCAAATCTAAATTATTTGGAAATGATGAGCGGCTCCGCTTTCAGCGGCTCTCCTCGGTTTTGAGTCTAGTGGTACCTTGGCTCATGAAAGCTCCACCGCCACCATGGGATCCAGCTACCTCCTTCAAGGAGGCCAATCGATCGATATATTTTCCTGCTAGCTATAGCGAAGAACAGAGTACTTTGCGAAGAACAGCACTGTGACATGCAGCAAAACAGCAGTCCCGCGTAGCTGCGCATGCTGACTGCAAAGCTTGCGCTACACTTTCCTGCACCCAAAAACAGCAAAAAGAGGATCAGAATGCAAGCTGCTCTAGCTATATGGTGATCAGGCTTACAGACTACTGCAAAATCCTGCCACAGAATGCTGCGCAAATAGGGCCCCCACACCATTCCCAACACGTTCTTCTAAGTGCTCGTGAAAAGTCGAAGTAGCACCTCATTCCGCTTGGCAAATTGAAAGTGTATAGTATATATTATATATATTATATTAGCAATAATCATACTGCAACTTGAAACATTAAAACTGACCAAGTGATTGCAGTTCTGGTTGGACATGTGCAGACTTGCGCGTATGCACTTTTGGACTTCAGCCCGACCGATATCGATTGAAGGGACGCCACAGAGCATCTATCGATGAGCCTACACATAGGCACCACAAAGCACTAGGGCAGAAACCAGCTGGGTATCTCATCACGTTTTGAATCCGCTGGTCATGCATGGGTTCATTTCCATCAAGTTTAAAAGGTTAACGGTTACAGGTATCCTGGAGCTCCAAAGTCTCCACCTTCTATGTGCTCTATGGTAACACTCCCCACCAAGCTCTTCACTGCCTTGCAGTGAAGAAAAAAACCAATCTCAATCACTTGAGCTCATCAGCTGCCTACTTCTTTTCAGGCTCGCTCTTCTTCTTCGGAACCTCAGAGGCGCGGGCGCGTGGACAGACAAAAGGTGGAGACAAGCGGTAAGGGGCTGGGTGTTATGGTTGTTTCAGTTTCACCGCGTTTTACCAACTCCAAATTCCCAGCCCTATATAGCTACACCAGCTGCAGTTACAGGTCGAATTCCAACATGTTTTTTTTCTTCTATATGTGCTAGTACTAGTGCTTTACCAGCCAATGGCCAATTTACCATCGGCACGGGCCCCAACACTGTACAAGAAATATGGTCCATAAGGATCTCGGAGTGCCATGCTACCCTCCCCACCTGGTGCTACATTCCTACATCCTCGACGGTTCTTAAAAGTTGCAATTAACAGAATTTCCAAAACTTCAATAATGCTACTGTTCTCAGAGCAATGAATTAGCCGCATCTCTGCAAAGTTTGACTCCTTGTATTTGTTCACGCGGTAGCCGACATTGGAGCTGATCCCAATTTTGAAGATACACACAGGCCCTCCAAAGTCTCGCACCAAACACTCGACTTGGAATACACAATGCCTCCAAATTGAACCAAAGGAGAATGCACAGCAACCTGGACTGTGCAGCATCTTCGCCACTATACCTGGAATGGTTTCCAGCTCTGATAGCTGAAAGCGGGCAAGCGGGCAGCAATCCAAATAGGATGACTTTGGAATCCAGTACAAGCGCTGCCCGACACAACACGTCGAACCAAACTTGTACAAAGAAGGCAAAGGGCAGCACGAGCATGAACCCAGACCTCTTGCAAAGCAAGCGCAGTCACATGTTTGTGATGCCTCAAGCCCAGCTCTACTGCGGACAAGCCTGTGTGAATATTGAGGCATACTTGGCCCAGCACGGCTCTTGCATGCTGTTCGCAATACTTTCTTTTGATGTTGCAATTCCATGCATTCTTGACCAATCCCACATTTGTCACTGGACTTTGAAGTGATAACCATGCTTCCTGCCGCGCAACCACCCGGATGCCCTGGCTGAGTAAGTGATCTAGCACTAGTACTATCTTGCAATTGCTTTGGCCTTTCAAATCCGACTGGTTTTCCTGAGCTCGAGGGTTCTTTCTCAGTCAAGTGCTCATCGTCGTCGGAACTTGATGGTGAAACCAAACGGGACGCCAATGTGCGAAGTCGAAACTTGGCAGGTCGAATGCTGGCAGCACTGGCCCTGGTCTGCGGAGCATCGGAGGACCAGAGCTCAGACAAGAAACGCTTCATACGTACCCTTGCAAGGTACCCATGCGCTGAGTCGCTGAGTCCCCATGACTCAACACCACTGCAAATCCCAATATATCGAATTGAGAGGATTGATAATTCAAAACCGATATCGATGAAGTGTTTCCAGTAAGATCAGACAGGGACATGCTCATGTGCACTGCATGCCCTGCTCGGTAAATGTAATACGCATTAATGTTTTGAGCCCAGCTACAGCGCCGGAAATTCTCAGGCCGCACGCTTCCTCCCAAAGGACTGATCACTGCCAAGGAACATGCTTTCGGCACGCGGCAGCTGCAGTCTTGTAGTTCTCCAATTTGTGTTCAGCCGACTGCACATGGCGTTCAACCTCCGAAGCAGTCAACATTCGAATGACACCCCAGTACCGGTTTCCGATGAGCTTTAAAGGATCCGGAGCTAGCACTACTTGATACTACTTGCATGGCTATGTTGTAAGATTTCTGGAGTCTGTACATGTATACGTGTTTCCTGTACAGGCAAATTGAACTTTAAGTCTAATTTGATGTTGCTTGCTTAATATAGCATTAATCCTCACTCACAGCAAGCCTCATCAGGGCTTGCGTCTTCCAAGCTGGCTCGCAATTTGCGGAGTTCGTCAATGGGCTCCTGGACATCCTTGATCAATGCGCTCCGGATGTTGCCCGGCCTCATGCAAACATGCGGGTCCATTCGTTCACCGGGATTGGCGCTAGACCTCAACTAGAACAGGTCCTGTTGAATATATTCAAGAAGGTTCATGTGTCAAAACAAATCAAACAAGAACGGTGCAGCGCATTCAGTCGACGGGTCTTCAACAATATTAATATATGCATGGATCTTTTTTGTTTGAGTGCTGGGGGTTGGACACACCAGTCAGCTTTTCACTCCAGGACTTCGAGTCTCCGCAGGCGGTCGAGATGTCCCGGATGACCTTCCAGGAGCAAAATGCTTGGGCACAGATATATTAATATTCAAAATAACTCACACATCATGCGGTTGGAAGAATTCGATCATAATCATTCGATTGACAGCCAACTGGGAAGACACATGCATGTATAAAATATAGGCCTTCTTTTTCCGTTGCTCAACAGTAGGTTCCTTCTTGTTCTTGTCATCTTCTTCCGGGGTTTCCTCCTTACCCTTAGTCTTCTTCTTCTTGTTCTTGCTCTTCTTCTTGCCCTTAGCCTTTGGCTTGGGCTTCCTTGGGCGATTCGAACCAGAATGCTGTGAACAAGTTGATGCCACAAGGAGGCCAAAAAAAATATATATATTTCACAGATGACCATATAGCGTATTGCATGCATGTATCGTCGTGTCCGATTCCTTCCTCTCTGTCTCCGGCTCGTCGACGCTAGATTCATCACTTGATGAAGCTGCCATCTCAGCACCTGTTTTGCGCTCATCCTCACTCTCTTCGTACTCAGCCTCTTCCTCGAACACGAGGTATTGCACCAGGTCCTGGGCAGTGCTATATAGCGGAGCAAACTGCGCATGCGCTAATTTGTCAAAACTGGTCCACCTGATCGTGATATGATCATGAGTTTCATTGAGTAAACTGGGAACGTAGCTGTACGTAGGGTACTACTAGTACTTCTAGGCCTTATATAATACTTGGTCAGGAACTGGGCCCCGAACAGTACGGTGCCAAAGCTCCGGGTGGTACCGCCACTGCCCTGATGAGGTTTTCATAACGATGAGTTCATCAACCAAAGCCTCATCGCCATCATACCTCCGAGCCAGTCTATTTAGGATCTGCTTAGTTGCGTTGCCACGTACTAGATTCACTAGATGCCAATTCTTATAAATCTGTACATGTTGTTATAAGTGTATTGCATTCCAGGTACTGCTTCAATAGCTGGGCTTTCGTTTTCCAAACTTTCTTCAGACTTCGGCGACTTCTCGAAGTGTGGACCAAGTTCGAGTACGTCCGACTGCGTTTCCAATTCTGTTTGGATTGAAAGAAGTCCTCAAAGAGGTCGGCCATCTTGTCCCACTTTTTGCCTTGCCAGGCTGTTGATTTCGAATTAAATCAAAAGGGTCGATCGATAGTATAGCTATATAACGTGCAGTAGTTTTCAATAGCAGCACTTAAAAAACGTTCAAGCATTCAGATCATGAGGTCATATACTAGGCACATGCATTGAAACCACTGTGCACAAACACATGTACACATATGTCAAATGCCTGATCTCACCTTCCTTGCTAGCGTCCTCACACACGGTGGTGTTGCCTTGCCTCATGCACAAGGCAGCTGTACATGTACATGTGTTGGTGTGTTGTGAGTTTGACTTCAAAGTTGATCTATCAGTGGCGATTGAAATTCCACGATCATACCTGGGAGACCCAACTCCGAAGGGACCGAAGGAACCCACACTGCAAATGGCGCCGTCTGCTTTCACACTGCAAATCAGTCAGAGAAGCGGTCGATCTCATCGTCCTCAAACTCCCAAGGTTGATCACCAGACTTGGTGATCTCTTCGGTTGAGGCACGGTTCAAGGCTGCTGCTACTTCGTCCGGTGTTCCAGGTGGGGGTGCAGGTGGTGCCTTCCCACTAGAAGCTGAGCTCTTTGGAGTAGACTTGGGTGCGGTCTTGGGAGCAGGAGCGGAAGCAGGGGATGGTACCCTGGACTTAGGAACTGCAGCCTTGCTCGAGGGTGGTGCTTTCCCGCTTGAAGCATCCTTAGCTACAGGAGCAGCCTTGACCTTGGCCTTGGCGGCTGCTTTCACCTGGGGGACAGCTGGAGCGCCTGCAGTAGCCTTGCTGGGGGGTGCGGCCGGTGCAGGGTTTGGTGCTGCCTTTGCCTTTGCCTTGCCATTGGCGGGGCTGCAGGGAGCTGCAGGGCTGCCAGGTTTAGCAGCAGACTTTGGAGGCGCCTTGGCAGCCGACTTGGGAACAGCACCAAGCTTTGCGCTTGCCTTAGGCGCAGGTTTAGGCTCAGGGGGCGCAGGCTTGGGGTTTGGGTTGGGTTCATCTCCGTCGTTTTGCTTGTTCCGGACTCGCTTCTTGGGGGGGGCTGTTCACTTTTGGCTCCGACCCGTAGACCAATGTTGCTGCTATCGATCCTGCAAATTGGCTATACATGCATTATAAAGTGCACATCCTGATTAGTTATATTATATTCTTGCACGTACAGCATTCAAAAGCAAATGTGTGGATCCTGTTGACTGAGAGCGGAAGGCTTCTTTGCAAGATGATGATTTGGATGGCACGGTTTCCACAGACCTCATGCACTGTCAACACAAATACCGCAATTACATGTGAGGACAAATTTAAACAATATGTATGTATACACACGCACTGCACTCCTGGCCCCCCACTCAGAGACTTCATCGGTGAAGGGATCATATTTGCCACGGCGAAGCTTCTTCTTTTCAGGACTTTTGACCGACATGGTGTCGACGACGTCGCTACACAAGCTTTGCAAGGCCAGCTGAGGTCAAAATCTCACTGCATTAATGGATTAGTGATTCTACTCAAAACTTGTGTTTGTAAAATCACGGACATTGCTTGCACAATCACGGACATTGCCTGCAAAATCACGGACAATGCCCACAAAATCACGGACAATGGGGTACCTCACTTTTTTGTTCACTCCATGAGACTCCATCGATTAGTCTCACATTCCTGTCGAATTGAAGCATATCGATATCCATTTGCCCACTCTATAAAGGCATCGAAGGTTGACCCACATGGCAAAATAGCTGCATGGGGCCCGCATGAATTAATAGCCTGTGACTTTTGACGTGCCTGCACTGCACTCCAAGTCTTTGAGGACATGTTAATTGATTCCCCGGGGCTGATCCAAGGGGAACTTTGGCACAAATGCTCCTCGTTGAAACTCAGCCCAGAGAAAACGGTGCAGCTGGAGCAGGTCAGCATCTTTCCAATCGCGTGGGCAATCCTGCAGAGGCAAGGGGTGGCAGAAGCGGTTGCGATCGGTTGTATAGGAGAGATATCGGGACATAGCTAGATCGACATATATGCTTTAGCCGACTTAATTCTGAAACAGGCACCGGTCCTGGCTCGGGAATTCTCCAATCTGAAGCTTCTCAGGTGGTGTTGCCTCGATATCCCGGTCAATACTATGCGCGTGTAGCTGAAACTTTGAATTGTGCAATCCACATATGGGTCATGGGTAGGCACATGAAACTTAAATTGACTAATCATAGATACAAGTAGTACTAGTAGACAGGAAGGAACAAGGGAAACACTACTGCTAGCTTATAAAATTGGTCAAAGGTGCTCGCTGTTTCTTTTGTTCGTGGATGATCTTCTTAGCAAACCGGTACGGGTAAGCCTGGGTCCTGCGCAAGTCCTTGCCCCCGGTCCTTGGCCATCAAAACCAGGACGTGCCATTATAAATTTAATGCATGACTCTTGAATCGAATATTTATGATGTAGATGTCAAACTAATTCAGACATGCAATTTGAAGTCAAGAGTCACCGAGACCTTCTTCTGCCCATGAGACTTCTTTACATGACTCTTCACCACAATTTGGATGCCCCGTCGCACTTGCAAAGCTCTGATCTTTGCCAACTGCCCACGTGTGATGGTGTTGGCCATCTTCTTGATAGGCGGCCTTGGAACGGCATGCGCAGCTGCACCAAGAATATGTTGGCTGCTCAGACACCACTTTGAGGCAAAGGCCAGCTGCCGAAAAGTTGCGTCGGCTTCGCCGACAGGTGTCCGTACAATCCCATCCACCTAGAAAGCTTGCCAGGTATATAGTATATGAGTCTACTAAGTTCCAGGAATTAGTTGATATCATTAATTGGAACTTAGAAGTAAATGATACCTTTGGGGAGTGGCTGTGCTCGAAGGTTTTTGGCCCAGCGCCTAAGGGTGTGATGGTGCGGGGTTGCCCATAGGATGGTGAACATCCGGTTCACCTTAGCCTGTGCGGCGGCGGCGCATGGCTGGTGGTTTGCGCCAAATGCCACGGAGGCAGGCGCGGCCGAAGAGGCCAATGGATGGAGGGGACGCCTCAAGTCCCAGTTCCCGACTTGGGGCGCGGGCTTCGACAAGTTGGAAGCCGACGCGACGGCTTTTTACGCCTGGGCAGCATCGGGCGTGGAAAGCGCAGGGACCACCTCCTTCGATGTCGGCCTGTGGATGGTGGTCGACACCGCGGTGGGGGTCCTCGGATGGTGCCTGTTTGGGGCTTCATGGCCCAATGTGAGGTCAGGGTGCCGACGAGCCCTACAGATAGCTTTGGTGCTTGGCATGTGCTTGGTGGCACACTACATTTGGGCAGTGTGCTACCCGGTGGTGTCAGTCGTAGTGGCCCTGGTGATGACGCTCCTGTGGGTATGCAGGAAACTGCTGAGGATCATGGGGGCATCCGCCTTCTGGTTCCAGAGGGTGACAGGAGGCTCACCTGAAGCTGCAGAGGCTGAGTTTCATGGTCCTGGAACGGGACGTACGCCAGAGACGTCCCAGCTCAGGGCTTTCAAGAGGACTGGGGAGGCGCCCAAGATGATCGTGGTCAAGCGCAACGACGAGGTGGCGGTCCTCCAGGTGGGGTCTGACAGTCAGACCATCAAAACGCATGGGCTCTACATCCCTGTGGAGCCGGGCACAGTCCGTGGGTCGGTGGGTCTGGTCAAACGGCTTCGGACGGCGGACCGGATCCACCTTTGCCGAAATGAGGCGTGCACGGAGGAGGGTGGCGAGCACTTCACTACGTATGGACTGGTGAGGCAGAGCAACCCGGAGGTGTTCCAGATGAACCAGGCGAAGCAGGGCGCGAGGAGCGCAACCAAGCAGCTGTGGGCGTGGATCACCGGGCCCCGAGCTACGGAGGCCACCATGCAGGTGATGCAGCGCATCAAGGAGCTTGGGTCGGAGTCCGAACAGGAAGAAGAAGTACTGAGTTGCGCAGCGAGCCGGGTCACTTGGCTCGGCAGTGAGGGTGGGCCTAGCTATTTAGCTCCCAGGCCTTGTGAGGCAAAGGCCGCACATTTTGAACAGGTCCTGACGGAGGACATCCCAATAGGTTGTACGAAGTTTGCACTTTGTCCCAGCCACTCCACAAAGTACATGGTTGAGAGGTACAAGGATAAGTGTAGTGTCAATACCTGTAGGAGGTTCGGTTCTAAGTTCCAACACGGAGTGATGTGGTGTGCTGAGCATGAACCTCGGACTGCACAACGACCTTCTACGCCGCCGTCGAGAAGATCAAGGTCGAGGTCCCGGGGCAAGGTCTATGTCGTTGAGGATGAAGAGCCGGAGGACGTCATGCAGGAGCAGGACGGGGAGGACGATGAGGAGCCACCTCATGATCTTCTTCGTCGGGTGCAGGAGATTGGGGAGGCGCGGAACTCGAAAAGCCGACGCACATCCAGGTCCCCAGGCCATACTCCGAAGAGCTCAGCCATCAGTCGGAACCTGTCCAAGATGGGTATGCTCAGCTCCCCGGGTTCGGAAGCAGCACCGGGCCTACTCGAGGAGTTCTTCGACAAGTTCGCCGCAGGAAAGAGTGACGGGCTTCGAGAACACCAGGTACGGGCCAGGTTGAGTGAGGAGCGCATGATGGACAAGGAGGAGCTCCTGAAGAACCTGATCGCTGAAGGGGAGTTGGAGCAGGCGCAGGGGCAGAAAGGGCTCACCAGGTTCTTGACGACGTGGCGGGCGGAGCTGAAGAGGGCGGAGCAAGTAGGCCAGGAGTCGGAGGCGAGCGCCTGGAGCGTGATTGATGGGGGCGGGCTGCGACCAACGCCACTCAGTTCGACGGGACCAAGTTCACCCCCACTTGGGTGGGCGGCCTTGTTGCTATGTAGTTAGCCAAGATGGTGAAGTTATGAACTTCGCTAACCGAAGTTATAATTTGGCTAACCTAAGTTATAAGTCGGCTAAGGCCACCAACTTACTTGGCACAGGTGGGCCAACTTACAAGTAGTTAGCAAGAAGGCCATCTACTTAGCCGGAACTTGGCCGAGTTACAGGACAAGATACTAAACACGCTAGGTGCAATTGGGGAAGTTGTGTAAGTGGGCCAAGCCTACTTAGTAAGTTTCCCGCGGCAAACTTAGCAAGTCCACCGCGGTCCACTTAGCAACCTTGCCGGGGCCAAATTAGCAAGTCTGCCCGGCCTACTTAGCAAGTCCGCCTGGTCTACTTAGCAAGCCTGCCCGGCCCACTTAGCAAGTCTGCCCGGCCCTACTTAGCAAGTCTGCCCGGCGTACTTAGGTCGGAGCCGAGCGTGGGGGAGGGGGGGCGGGAGCAGCGAGCAGCGAGAAGCTGATGGAATTACTACTGCAAATGCGCCGCAGAACCGAGGGCATCAACCGGCGAGTGACCGGCGAGTGAGAATGAGGAAATGGAATGCCTCGCCATCGAACCACATCCAAGCTCAGACTGTCTTACGTAGTTCGATACATATATCGAACTACGTAAGTATATATGCATCTATCTATATATATATAGATATATATATATATATGCATATATCTATGTGACATGAGTGATGCGTGTACATATATTTTCGTTTTTTTGGCGTGCGTGTGTGTGTGCACATATGTGTTTTTATGTATTTTTTAGAGACGCTTTTGGCGGCGCCTGCCTGCGGCCTGGCCACTGCCTGCCACTGGGCAGGCCCGGTGGGATGCCGGGTGGGGGGGGCGTGGCGGTGGCGGCGGTGGCGGTGGTGGTGGTGGTGGTGGTGTGTGTTGGTGCGTGGTGGTGCGTGGTGGTGTGGCGGTGGCGCGGCGGTGGTGTGGCGGTGGTCGTGGTTTGGTTACCCTTGTTTTTGTTTTTTTATGGGTATCGGTCTATAGGTGGGCCCACCAAAAAACCCCCGAAGAAGTAGGGGACCCCCAAACCCCCAAAAAAGGGAACAATGCTTGCATGATTGCTGACTTCCATTGTTGCTGGGCACAGTGCTCGCAAAAACGAAGAGCTGGGCCACTGCAAATGGCCAGTTTGTAAAGCGTGCTGGGCACCATGCTCGCATAGAGTCTATAGGGCTGGGCTGTCTAGCTCGCCAACACTGCTGGGCATCATGCTCGCACAGGCTCTATTGGGCTGTTTTGCTCAGCCAATCTCATGGAACTATTGCGCTGCAATGCAGCAAACCAAAATACAAACGAGTACACTCAAGTCCTGACGGTCCTGACAGCCTTTCAGAAGTTACAACTAAGACTTTTGTGTGGCTGCATGGTTTGTTATGCCTTAGTTGATTTTCATGCCGTTCAGACGTGCAAGGTTTGGAGAGTGAGTTCAGAAAACTGTTGGATTCACGCAGCGTTTTGTCAGCAGGGCTTCTAAAGTGGACTGATCGAGTAGTGTCAGCTTCATCCATGCACCCTTCATCCCCGACGGTGGAGAAGCGGGAGCGAGTGCTTGCGGCACACAAGCGCATGTCGAACTACCAGACCTACAAGGACTTGAAGACCGATGATATGCCTGATACACCGAGACCACTGGCCCATGGGAGCAAAAGGTCTTGGGAAAGCTCCATGTACATGTGGCGAAAAGCCATTGCTGACGTAGCAAAGTCTTTGTCTGAGTGAGGAAATTCAGTTTTGCCTAATTAGCCGTGGTCTTCACCATTTGATGCATATACCGAGCATAAAAGAATAGAGATTGATCGCGTTTTGCGAGAGATTTGTCTAGTAATTGAGTCGATGGTCTGGTTTGAGTGAGATACCATGAGCTGACATGACAATTTTCGGACACCTGCCATTGTTTGCATTGCATGAGCGGTGCCTGCAGCGCCTCCCCAAACAAGTTTCAAGTTTTGTGATTGGCTGAACCTCATTCCTGTTTTGCCATGCCGTTGGATGTGGAAACCCGCAAGCTTATCGAGCGAAGGATTCAAAGAGCCGAAGAAGGATACTTAGTGTCCGAGACTGCGGCTTTGCTGAGAGATCTAGAGGAGAAGAATTTGGTGTATAGATCACAGATCCAACCTCGCTTTGTTCACATCCATCCCCTCAACAGGGATGGTATGGGGTGCGGTGGCACGGATGTGCGTGCTCTTCTTTCTGACATAGTCAGTGTAGGCTTCGATTGGTCCCAACCACAACCTGTGGCAGTGGAGCTGCAGGATCCCACTGAGATTGCGGAAGTGACAGCTTTCAACGAAAAGCTGGTCATGTTGAGTGGCACGGACAAGCACACCAGCTTGGCACCAGTGGAACCAGCATCAGTGAAGTTTGCAAGCTTGAGCAGCAGCCATACGAATATGGCTTTGAGGCTCTTCGCAGCCTCCATGCCACATGTTGGGGACGAAGTGTTGCTTGTGGACGGCAAGCTGTCGCTGCACCAGCTGCGCTCACATGATGCAAACTTCGCTGAAGCGGTTGAAAGAGGCCTGATGTGGACAATTGTGAGCAACACCGTAATGGCTGCTTACCCAACCCTAGCACACCTTCTCCAGCAGGCCTTCAACACAAGCAGCCAGCTGCAGCGAAAAGAAGGAGAGCT